GATTAGAATCTTTACTAATCTTCATGTTTCCTGAATTCATATTAACAGAAGAGTGAAAAACCAATGGCCTCATTTGAGGTCATTCCAAATAAAGCCTCATCTTCATCTTACCATTTGAGCACTCAGTTTAAGAGCAAAATTCATCACAGAGCAGAAAAAAGGGCAAGTTTTAGCTGTTAAGCTTCAGGCTGACTTGATCCGAAATAAATGCTTTGTAATCTCTCTTTAAACAAAAGCTTTAGTTTCTGTAATCCTCTTCTTTATCTATTCCTATGAAGCCTCCTGAGGCTGAAGCTGCTGTTCACGTCATTTTTATAAACAGCCTAGATCTCTGCCCACAAATTGCATTCCAAGGGTGATGGCAGTGGTGTCGATTTAGCTCAAGGCTCAAGTGTCATGAGTCATGTTTCCCTCCCTTTGGAGACACTTGCCCAAGCAATCCCAAGCATCTTCTGCTTGTTTTCTCATTGCACAGACGTCCTGTTACTGAGCATCCATTCAGCCAAGAACCCTGGCTCATTAAAGCATGACTAAAAGACTATTGTGTCTGTCTGCACCTTCTGTTCTTGAAAAGCCTTCCATTTGGTGTGTAAATACTCACTGTGCCACATTGCATTCAGGGCTCCATCCAAAGCCTGGTGCCTTTGACAGGGTCCTTCAGTGCCTGTAAATTTCCACTGCGTTTCCTAAAGGAAACAGCAAGGAGACTTAGGGCCCATGACATCAAACTGATGGTCTTAGGAATGATGATCTAACCATAATTGAAATGGCTTACACTGGCTGAGTCACCATGGACTTTCAAACAGGTATCTGAAGATACATGTTGTTAAAAACCTTCATGTGGAGGCAATGAAAAGCTATACTTCAAATAAATGGCAAAAAATAACAATAAAAACATAGCTCTGTGCATAAATGTTAGAAAAAATATCCACCATTTGCTGTACTTCTTATAGCAGAGCCATGTGTGCTCCCGCCTGAGTGCAACACACATGCACCCTACACACAAGGACCCTTTCCCAATAGCTGCCCTTCTACCTTCTTACAAGCTCAACTTCTAGCTATTTGCATGAGAAAAACAGTTTCTGGATAAATCCTCACAAGACTGACTTGGACTTAGAACCTGGGTCAGACTCATTGCTAAAATAGAAGCCATAGCTGGGAATAAAGAGATCTGGATTCTTAAGTAGTGCCTAGTTAATGAAAGGGGCATGGGGCTATTGAATTAAACAGATCTTGATTTAAATCCCCCATATGTTATTTATTAATTGTGTTAATAAGCAAGTACTTAAAGTTTGAGTCTCACTTTCCTCTTATATATAAGGCTTCCTGAAGGCATTAACAGTGATTTATATGAAGTGGCCAATACAAAGTAAGACCTCAATAAATGGTGAGCACCTTCTTTTATGTGCTACTCTTATTTTTATTGGACAAGGTATGCAACCTCTTTGGGCCCCAATTTCTTTCTCAAAGAATCAATTCTAGTGCTCAAAGATTCAGAACTCAGTGCTTACTTACACTTTGGGAAGGAGGACTGATGTAAAAAATCAGGATTTTCTGGACAAGTTGATGAATCTCCTCCCTCTCTTTGGTGTCCTTGAATGAGTGGTAGATGGATAAAAGGCCGATGTCCACATATGCGCATATGCTAATAAAGTGAGGTGGGATGATGGTAAGGCCTTAAAGTAGACAGTATAAAACCTCCACTTTTGTCTTGGCCTTCTCTATTTCCCTCGCTTACTCACTCTATCTCCTTCTGTCTCTCCCTTTCTCCAAATGCCAAATGTAATCTCAACCTTAAATTTCATAAAACCATTAATGCCCTTGTAAAACGACATACAATTGCTTCTCGGCCTTTTGGCTAAGATCAAGTGTAGTAAAACGACATACAAACCTAAGTTATTATTGTTAACTATGTAATCATTCTTGCAGACATACTTTTAAGTCAGTGTCTCAGATCTTCCTTGGTTGTAAACTACATTCAACTCTGTATTTTCCTAGAAAGCAGTAATTGAAGAAAAGTTAATGCTCTCAGAGGGCTTTATTTAGCAAATACAGGGTAAAGGAATCATGTCTTTTTGCATCTGGGGAGTTTTCTGAAAATTCTCTTTTCCATACCCATACTTGATTTGTATTAGACAATTTCATCTCTTACTCAGAAAAATGGCAGGGTTTTCACACTCTGCCCTAATTTGTAAAAGTTTCAAAAAAGCTTTAAAAATGAGAGTAATTTTGTGAAGATTTTCTTGACTGCCATTAGAAAAATTAACTTCCTACAAAAGAAACAAATGCAGCTGTACCCAAAATGGCATCGTTTTAAAAACTGTGCATATACAGGGACTCTCTTGGTCCTCTATTATAGATAAAGGATAATAGAATTGAAATGGGATTAATCAGTGTGTATATGTGTATTCTGTTTTGAGTTTATCAACTATCAACTGGCGTCTTTCTTTTTGTAAGGTGATCAATCTGTACTAAAATTGCCTTCAAAAAACATTAATTTGTCTGGCTCAAACATTGGAATTTTCATTCTTTCTCCTACTGATTTTAGTAACTACAGTAACAAACTGGTATCTTAGGCTGCCTGCAGTTCCTCACCTTATGGATATTTCCAAAAAGGGTGTTAACTTTGAGTTAGCAAGGTGCATCTCTAGAGCAAGTCTAATAGTAAGTAATCATAGAGTAATATCCATTAACATTCCATATTCTATTGGTTAGAAGCAAGTCCCAGGTCCCACTCACGCCAGGAGGCAGGGGGTATGAGGGTGGAGTCCACCTTAGAATATATCCACCACAATTAGTATAGAAGACAAAATCCTGGATGGGGTTAAAGGACCCTTCCGGAGTAATCAATACCCTTCAGTAAGGCAAGATTTGAGGTGGTGGTAGAGATAATAATGTGGCCAGTCCAGAGGTGCTCATACCTGGCACATCATTGAACTCATATTTTAAAAGTATTTGCTCCTTGTTTATTTAGAGAAAAAATGAAGACATTTGAGGGGAGAAAAGAAGAAAAAAAGAATGCTGAA